TCTGTAGAAGCTTGTTTTTCTGCTCTCAACAAGATCACAAGAGTTACTAACATCACCACTTTCACCAGACTTGTCCACAGTGCTGCTAGCACATTCACTGACTTCTGTGTTGGAAAAACTTTGTTTGGCTTCTGTGTACTGTGTAGCAGAATAAAAACTGTTTTGAGGACTAGGACAATAGGTGATTCCTGACTCAGATGGCAATCCTTTGGCAGCAGCAGCATTCAAATCATCGTTTGAAGTACTATTCTTCGAAACATAGTGTAAATCCTTGATAGATGATTCAGTTTCCAAAGCCAAAACCTGCTCTCCTGAACAACCTTCTGCTAATTGATTTACAGTATCTTCATTTGCTTCAAAATGCTTTGAACCAGTCACTGATCCGGTTTGAGTATGAGCTGTGTTGGAACCAAGGTCCATTGCTATTGGATATGAGATAGATGACTCTTTGTTTTCGGATTGTTTCATCAAAGGAGGATGACTTATCTTGGAGGCCAAAGATGTATTGCACTCGACCGCAGCGAATGAATTGTGAACATTTGGCAAGGAACTGATTCCATCAACAAGAGACTCCATTGTATTCTTTGGTGTAAACACTGCCATTACACAATTAAAAGTGAAGAAAAATTAGCTACTTAACAGTTTGATCATGAATACTTTTTTACTTTTTTCCGGAGTTGAATTCTGGAAACATAAAATTCTGAAAAAATCCGGAATTCAACTTCATCCAGGAATTTGAAAAATACCAAAAAAGTTATTCACTCCAAATTAGTCACAAAATTCAAAAACAAGTCCAACTTGTATTCACGGTCATATATAACTCCAATTTCCATTTTGAAAACAAAACTAAGTACTTTTTTCAAATTTCACAATTTTCAACTAAAGTTTGAATAATTTTTTACATGAATTGATTCCATCATCTCATAATGCAGCATTGATTACAAAACTTTACATAGAATAACAGTAAAGTCACAGAACTAATCAGAATAAAATGATCATACAATTCCTCCAAAGGATCAACAGAAAGTTGTATATCCACAAATAAATCAAAAAAAAAAGTGAACAGAGAGAGTAATAGGTTGTTGAAATCACCTGATAATCAAATGGAGAAAAACGAATGATGTGCCATGATTATTGAGACCCTTTCCGCTTATAAAGGGAAACAGCTTTGCACCTTTTTTCTTTCTGGGTCCTCTCCCCTTTTCAGATCCGATCGTAACAATAAAAAGAGTCTAATAGATGTGAGTGACTGAGTAATCTAATTATTTCGAATAAAGGATAGAGAAACAGAGTAAATGAATCAATCAAACAAAACTCACAACAAACAAAGCAAAAAGGCAAATGAAAAGCTTAGTGAAGAAATTGATACATCAGATTTCTCTCTCTCTCTCTTTCTATATTTTACTCTGTTTTCTCCTTCATCTTCACCTTTTCGTAAACGCTTATATTGTAATCCTATACGATGCTTCTTTTCTTCGGTAAACTACCAAAACAAAAAACAAATATTTTTCCGTTTCAAATTATTTGTCTTATTTACTATATACATCGTAAAAGGGATCTTAATTTTTTTTACTAATAATTACTTACTTTTAATCATTGACTATTATTACTTATAGTATTAATATTTTTATGCAATTTTTTAAATAGATAGAAAAAATAGAAGATTTCATTCCAATTTGACAATTCACTCTAAATACAAGTTAATTTGACACTTATAATCAGATCAAGCCAAATAAATTGAAAGTTTAATATAATTCTTGGGAGAAAATGATAAAAATGATCTTTTATCTTTTGTAGTATATTTAAATAGTCCCTTAAATACTATCTAAGTAATTTTAATTCTTTAAATTTATCGAAAATAATTTATTTTTTTATAGATATTTATTAACCGTAACTGTGAGAATAGAAAATGTATAATTTGAAAGTACATTTTTTTACAATTTATATTATTTTGATCTATTTCAAAAGCAACAAACTTTTTGAAGTGCAATGTATAATATTTTATAAAATGGTAAATTATTTAAATTGAATAAGTAAAAAATATTTTTTAATTACTGCTGAATTCTTTTTACTCAGAGTGACGGGTAGTTACTGCAGATATTTTGAGTGTGACAGAACCTCTGAATTACATGCAAGTGAAAAGGCATGTTTTCATTAAATAGGTTGAGATTTTAAAAATTCAAAATTCTAATTTGAAATATACAATAAATTCCAGGTACATTACCCAATTGAAAGCATAGGTGTCAATGGAAAAATAGAATCACTTCAATTATTGTTTTTCAATCAATCAATAATATGATAAGATAAGATGAATAAAGAGACTTGAAAATATACACACATGTACAAAAAAACTGTCCCAAGAATAGTTGTTTATCACATTTTTGCATATTGCTCCTAGTTTTGACATTATATGACATATTTGTTAGAAACTAAATTTGAGTAAAAGCTATTTTAAAAATGAAATAATACACGATCTTAACGTTTAATACTATAATAATACTTATATGTCATTTAATTTTAAAACAAAAATAAAAAGGTAAGAAAATTCCGGTGAGCAAAGCGACTGTTTCTTCACATTGAATCATCCACATTTATTTGTCAATTATTATATTAAAAATATTTATTTATTTTAACTGTTCAGTTTAAAAAATAATTTATTATTTTATGGAGTACCTATTTTACTTTTATTGTTAAGTATCTTAATTTCATTTTTCAACATTAAAGAATGTGTCAAGTCAAACATGAATGGAAGATGTAACATTAGGAATTAGGGATTGTTTTGTAAGCGAAATAAGGTGGAAAGATATCGGGATAAATTTATATCGTTACCTAACCATAATATTTAAAATAAATTTATATAGATCTCAATGGAATAAATTGGTCCAAAAATAATTTAATTGACGTATCAAATCATCTCTTAGTAATGACGTGTTTGACTTGTGTGGCTTGAAGGTCAAAGCAATTCAAAGGAAGCTATTTGGTTGTGCATATTTCCAAGCGACGAATAACGTGGGTAAACAAGCTACTAAGTAACATTTATTGGCTTTGTTATATACTTTTCAACTTTTAATAATCCATAATCATCACTTCTTCCCCTTATTTGAACTATATTCGAAGGAGATTCTTTTAGATTATGATTTAATTTCTACAATTGATATGATTGGAATTAAGGTCCAAATTGTTTTTAAAAAAACTGTGATAATCTTATGACGCATATTGCTTTTACATTTACTAACTTTAAATTTGTGTAATTAAGCTTTCATAATTGCAATTTATTCTTATATCAATCACTTAAAGTGTAAAGTTTCAATTTTGAAAAGAAAATATAGTTTTTACCTTCCTCCTAAATGCCAATCATATATTTTCAAGATTGGGTAAATTCCAATTTTATTAGAATGATATTTTTTTATTGGGTTGACTTTTAACTATTAATGAGACTTTTCCCTTTATGCTTTATTTCTCTTTAGAAAAATTGCACATTCTTGCCTTGTCATATCAGCATAAACATAACTATATGCTACTAAAACATGTATCTTCAACTAACAAATGAAAATTTTAATTCATCGTGTGTAACACATCCAACACAACTATGAATTTACGAGTTAAATATAAATATAGATGAAAAAACACACACATATGTATATACTTATTCAATTCAAAATTCATATTAATTTTAAGTTCCTCATGAACAAATTAAATAAATAAAAAATTTAATTATTCTTCTCCTGATTGGTGAATCGGGAAATGTGTAAGTTGTTAATGGAAAAGTAAAAATTTGACATATAGTAATAGTAATAGTACTAGTACTAGTTATGAATGGTAGATTAGATTACAAAATTGCACTAAATTTAGTAAAGTAATAGTAGTATTAATGTACTATAAATAATTATATGGGATGATAAGAGGCATCAAAGTTGAACCGGGACAGGGAAAGGGGTATTACATGTGCACGCACGTGAACCGGAACCGTCGCATGTGGACCGCCTGTCGTGTTCTTTTAATTATTATATTCTTTTATTATTATTATTATTACTCCATTAATGTATACGCCAAAAGTACTTAATGCATAAAATAACAACACAACAAAATATTGTACAGTTAAATTGCTCTGTTTTAGAAATTAAATTTTTATAACAGCATAGGTCAATGGCAATGCATCCTTCACTTGGGAATAATAATCACTGAAAACAAGAAAAAAAATTCATTTCACGCCTATCTATAGAAACCAATTTCTCTACTTCTGAGTTAGATGAGAGCTAAGATATGTGTATAATCTATCTTTACTAAATCTCATTGAATATATTATTATTATTAGTAAAAAGTGTTACCCTTAAATCAATGTCACAAATTTCAACTCCAATGAACAAGAACTTTTCGATAGATAATTTTCTTAATTAGTGAATTAGTCTGATCAATGTAGGGAGGATAAACAACATACCTCCCATCATTCCCTCATGAGCTTTATTTTGGACAAGTTGTATATGCAACTATATATTTGTGGCTGAAAATTCAAAAGGAGCCTATATTGTATGGAGAAGAAAAGAGTCTGCTTCATACATAGTGTAAATACTAATAATTTGCTTGAATAAATGTTGTAATGACACGTGGCAGAAAAAGATAGTGAGACAGTACTTGCTATCTTGGGGACCTTTTGTCTGCAATCAACTATACATGCTTTATGCTTTTACCCAATCATCATTGTCATTGTAATGAGAGTCTGTATTCCCCCATATCATTCACCACCATAAGCTCTTCTTCAATGTAGGAAACTTTCCATTACCATCAACAAAATAAATATAGTACCAATTCCCTTCTTTTTATAAAAAAAATTCCCCTCTATGGTAACATTCTCCTTTGTTTTTATGTACTTGGAAACAGTAGTGTTTAAGCCAGTTCGACTATTTCACTGAATACATGATACCACTAAGATCGAAAGAAATCTTACGTTCTTTCTGTCTGTTGAGATATGATGTATCATTGAGACATACTGCAAGCAAAAATATATCAAACGAGCTCATTTGACACAGGCAATTGAATGAAGTTGTATTTCATAATGTATACATAAAGATGAAGGGAAAAAGAGTAATCTACATCATAGTCAAGATTGTTCTAGCAAATTTTCCAAGTACAAATTTAAGATATATCTTCCAGTAGACAACACATCAAGCCTCTTCTCACTAGGCTCGTATTTCCCTTTACGAAGCTGATAACGATGAGTTACAGCTGAAATGGTGTAAGCTCGGCCTTCAATGGTTACACTTTCTCCACACTGCAAGTTCTGTCATTGAAATTAACTTTCTATTAGACCAGACACCATAAAACACTATACCCCAATTGCGAAAGGCATTGTTGGACGTCTGTCAATTCAAAAATCTTATGTAGGCCCTATGCATGTAGCCAGTTTCAATGAATTAGTGAAGCATTATTGGAAACATGACAGAAAGGTCACATGTCTTTTGTATGGCATGAATGTTGGATATATGAAAAGCATCTGCTGCAGTGTGTGTGGCTAGCTTAGTTTCACATCAAGCTAAGATGTGAGTATTACATTGGAACACGAAAACCACAAGCTTTATGAGTAGTTCTAACTCTTAATGAAACTGCCAATAAAGTGTGTAAACACCATGAATAATATAATCGTGGTTGCATGAACAGGTAAATCACTTCTTATTGACTGTATTTTCTGACAGATGACCTATGTTTCTACATTCATCTTTCTGGGTAAACCAAAAAGGTAGAGAATAACAAATAAAAAAGGTTCACAAGTAAGCAGGATCATAAACTTTAAATGCACAAAGAGTTTGATGACATTACATTCAGCCAGTTGAAAATTCAGAGCTACTAACCACTTTTAGGTTTTACGGTGAACCATTGAACCTTGTGATATATTTACAATTTTATCGGATATCCCCAAAGGGATAAACCAAGTGATTTATTTCTTCTGTTCTCTGCAAGAACAGAATAAGTACAGCCGATTCGAGGATGAATATAATAGAGGTTTGTATTATTTTATAAGGTAAATAATTTTATCAACAGTAGGGAACACCTCTATTTTTTTATAATAGAGGTTTGTTCATCTTCAAAAAGGAACCTCAGAGCTCAAAATTTGCTTCTAGAGAAACGAAATAGGAAGATCATCCCTCTTAATGTCATATACCTTCGTCTTGCACACCACACACATGACCTAGCCTTTGATGGTACTTCTTCCTGTTTGTGCTTAATGCAGGATACATGGTTCCCTCCCCCCCACCCCCCAAACCCGGGGCATTCAACCTTCCAAAATTGGAGCTTCACCGAGGAACAATATCATATTGCTTCCTTCCCTAGTTCTCCCATAGGATTTGTTCAGTCATGGGGATAATTATGATGCCATCATTACCATTTTGAAACTTGATTCAGGGAAAAAGTTAAGGAGAATAATTGTTCTGACACACCTATCATATACAGCTTCCTATGACTGGCTCTGAATGAAGGACCAGCTAAAGGGGCCCAAAAGAAACCAGTAGATGAATAAAAGACAGATCAATAATAGAATTAAAGAAGCTTCAGCCTTCACATCCTAAACAGAAAATATCATCGGCTAGTAACACGTTAAGGCTTGAATAAAAGTACAAATGCTTAGGCAAGTGTGCTAATGCAGACACAACGACCCTAGCACTGGAAGTCAAGCATATCAGGCATCTACCTTTCAATTCTACGATCTAGAGCTAAAGCAAAAACTTGCTAACTGTGGGCCCTTGAATAAAGTAGCAGCCCAACTTTACCTTTTCAACAACAAACGAGTCGGGTTAATTTCACCTACCATCACTAACCTACTCTTCATAACACTCAAGTCACAAAACTATTTTTGTTAAGGTAAAGTCACTAAACTAACTATTTGTAACACTAAAGTCACAAAACTACCTTTTTTTTGTTTTGTTATTTTATAACCGGGGTATTTGGATCAACTTTAGCTTGACTACTTCCACGAGGTACCTGCTGTTTCCACCAGCACAAGCACAGGTATTGGGTAACTCCATCCACTAGCTTCACCAAGTGTTTTTTACCTCCATTGGGAATTGAACCCGAGACCTCATGGTTAAGTAAACTTTACTGTAACAAATCGTTAGCTTAGTGACTTTACTCAAGTAGAAATGCTAACTTAAACCTAAGTCAGCAATTCTTTACATATCCTGTCAATGATGTTTCACCACAAATTTTACACTTCCCTATCAGTGGTAAGCTCCACTCCTCTGCTTAAGTGGCTGCACTAGTCCACAACTACAATATACTGCTTTCTCTATTTTCTACCTCTGTTGTGTTGTGTTGTGTTCTGTGCTTTTTCTCAAATTGCAATCCTTGCAAAAGGAAATTATGAATTACAAGGAAGGAAGGAAGCTTTCACCTGACTGTGATAGCCCTCTCGATACCTTATCGGAGCTGTGTAACTAGTGGCTGGTTTCCCGTCATGTCAGCCTTTTCCCAGTGCGCGGAGCCCCAACGAGGAAGGTGTTAGTGCTTTATCATTGGGTCAATAATGCTAATCCCTCTTTTTGTGCTACTCCTAGGGCGGGAAGACCATATATCTTCTATAGTAATTTTAATCTATCCCTTTATTCCCTACTTCTCGAAAAGTCAAACATTTTTTTCTTTGAACATGATTTTCGAAAATAAAGACTAAACATCATCTTATTCTTAAAAATTGTATTGAAGTGTTGGTATCTGCGGTTTTTATATACATTTTATTCTGGAAAATTGCAAAAATCATGTTGAAAATGAGACCAAAACTTGGTCAACTTGACGACTGTGAACTGAATCAGGTCAAATTTTAGGTGAAGGGAATCGTAAAAGATTGGCAACACAACTGTGATCTGAATCAGGTCAAGTTTTAGGCAAAGGAAATCGTAAATGGTTGGCATGAATACCATAACCTAGTTGAGTGCTTTGCGAACATGATCTCAGAAATTCATGCAAAGGCATAATGCTCAGGTTATCCACAACCAACACAAAGAATACTCAAAAGAGATTTATACATAAGTCTAGTGTCGCCAAGTTGCAGGAGTCACAGACTTCGACCAAGTTATACTCACCCCTTCATCAATAAATAACAAAGAACTGCAGCTTTGGACACATTTAGTCATTTATACAGGTCTAACATATGTGAAGGTATCTAATTCTAACAGATCTCACATAAAACCATTTGCCATCAATAGACCAGTGTCTATATTCAAGTAGGTATGGAATGTGAGACACTATCACAGGAAGCCAACTAGTGCGCCTTCAAACATCTGCCCTTTTTCTTATGTCATGCATGGAAATTCACCCATTACTCAGCATCCAGCAAGAAGACAGATTTTCACTTGAAAATTTTCCCTCTTAGTTTTGGTTCTTTGTAAGCAAAACTACAAGCACTGTTAGTACCAAGAGTGTTATAAGCTTAGTGGTCCATAGAGATGATGTCTTTAAGCTATAATACCAAAGAGTTCCCAAACTACTATCCTTAATTCTAGTGTAGATCATATGCTATGACTTATGAGGCACAACTACAGTCTAGATCAAACCAGCCAAATCCTGCGGGGACATTCGCACAAAATTTGCTCTAACCACAGTACAGGTATTTGCAAGGAAATCAACCCAAATATAGCGTAACGAACATAGAGGATTCATATAGTTGACACTTCTCTTAGCTAATGTATCCGCAGGTACATAAAGCTGACACTAACTAATTTGGAGTTGAGGATGTTAACACCCATATAAACGTATAAGGAAACATGAACTAATCCCAAAACGTGACCAAAAGAATGCCATTAAAAAAATTTAAGACATTCAACAAAAGCCAATCAACCAAGTATGTTAACTCCATAAAGAAATGAAATTGGAACCAGCATATTGAGCACAAATACATAAAACCCCAAATGAATTACTTGTTGGAAATCGCCGGTTGGGTTTGTTTATCCAACCAAGAAATTACTCTCCACATTTCTAATTCAATCAAATGACAAGAATTTCAAAGTAAAGAAAGCTCTTTTATAATCTTCCCAGTAAAAGTAAGATGACATTTGACCTTATAACTACAACACCAACAACATATTCGATGTAATCCCACAAGTGGGGGTCAAGGGAGGGTAGTGTGTAGGCAGACCTTACCCCTACCTTGGAAGGTAGAGGGGCTGTTTTCGATAGACCCTCAGACATTTGACCCTATAACACCAATCAATCAATTAACTGAGCATTCGAGCCTATAAGCATTACATCAAACACAAAAAGCAAAAATTGGTTTGAGAAAATGATGCTTACAGAGGGGAGGCAACGTATGCCAAGGTTCTTGGGAGGAGGTGAAATTTCAATGACTTTATAGGGTTGGGGATTTTGACTCTTATCTTTCTCCTTCTTTCTGCAGTAAACTTGGTGCCTCTGTGACTGCAATTTTACTAATATTATCAAAAACCCACACGCTTAACAACAACAAAAAGAGGAGGGAGATTACAGAGTTTGATTCATACCTTTAAGAATGAGTTAGTGTTAGAAACCATAGCCATTTTGCTTAATTCCTTATCAATTTCTGCTCCCGCCTGCTTCTTGTCGAAAGCCCTGATCGAAAATCAAGATTTTTATTTGGGTATGTCCAGTTTCTTGCTTAATTTTTTCCCTTCATTCACCAGCCAAAACAATGAAAAGGATTTTAAAAAAAATAAAAATTACAGAGGGTGGTTAGATGAAGTGTGTTGTATGAGGGTGGTGTGATCAGTTAAAAAATCACAGATTCTCTATATGTCCATGTGTGACGTATTAGGAATGATAAGATTAGAAAATTAAGAAAGAGATAATTAAAGTGTGTGGAGAGTAGTATAAGAGGTGCGAGAGGTTGGCAGTGATAACTTTGAAATAAGGTAGATCAAAGAAAAATTGGGGGACAACGTATTAAACCGAACATGACATATATTCAACTCATCAAGGATAGGATTTTACATAAGAAAGTATGGAGGTTGAGGATTAGATTAGACAATTAGCGGATAGTTAAGTATTTTCTTTCCTTTTAGTGATAGAGCATAGTTCTAGTCGGAAGCATCTATTTAATTGTGCTTTCACTTTTCAATGTTTTTATCATAATTTTTACTCTTGCACTTCTTTCAAACTAAATAAGTACTATATTTTCGAGTTGAGAATTTATCAAAAATAACCTCTTTTATGTCATAAGGATAAAGATAAGATCTACATATATTTAACCTCCCAAAATTTCTACTTGTGAAGTAATACTAAATTTGTTATTGTTATTGTTGTTGAATGTTGATTATCTTTTTGAAGGTTAAAATGGAAATAAATTTCCTAAAGTCCATAGTAATTATGATTTATGAACTTAGTACTATTGGTTGGTTATAAACTATATAAATGGCTAAGAATTAGTAGTGGTTTCAACTTTTGATAAGGTTAAAAAAAAGGTCCACAAGAATCTGTGAATTTGATTTTGTTTTGACATTAAATTCCAACAACGGTTGGGTTCGCTCCAATCGTGTGGCTACGGGTTTACTCCTTTTTTGTTTTTATCTTTTGATGACACGTCTACTGTTCTCCATTTGTTATTAAAAATATCGCAATTGAAAGGCCCATCTACATTATGGGTATGTTCAGCACGAACGAAAAATATGAAATGTTACTTATTTTCAATTGTCACTCGACAGTATAGACGATGAAAATTCAGAAATGTTTTCCTTCATATAGAACGCACCCTAAATGTTTTATCATACGCTTCTCAAATAAGTACATATAAATGATAAGAAACACACTAGAAGATCAGAAGATAAAATCATCATTTGCTCGTTTTGACAGTCACTAGAATCCATCAAAGCAAAATTTACTCGTTTAGTCCAACTAATTTGCCCAAATGAATAAAAAGAAAAAAGAGATACAGACCTCTAGCACATAAGAATTGAAGATCAGTTTGACAATGTTGCTTGAGGATTGCAGATAGCTGAAGATGGATGAATCATGTTCCTTGATAAACCAATCGATATCAAAGACAACAGTATATTAACTGAACTAATATTTTACCAATTAAAATTCGACAAGAGAAAAAAAAAACAAGATTTAGCTCTCAACAAGTGCTTGATTGAGTATACATCTCTGGTCATAAGCTTAAAATCACCAAGCCAGAGACAATTCAGCTTTGCACCTTAAACATTTCACTTTCTATCTCCCATAAGGGTGGTATCTGCCTGAACCAGCACCAGCACCAGCACCACCATAGCTTCCTCTACTACTTCCATACATTGAACCTCCGGCACTATCTCCTCCATACCCACTGCCAAGACCAGCAGCACCATATCCACTGCCATATCCACCGCCACCAGCAGCATATCCTCCATAACCTTCACCTGCTCCTCCATATCCACCACCAACATCGTAGCCTCTACCAAAGGCTCCACTGCCATAACGGCTAGAATACCCAAAAGAAGCCTCCTCCCTGAAGCCTCCTCCGTAGGCACCACCGCCACCATATGCTCCATATCCACCCATTCCTGCACCACTATATCCACCAAATGCACTGGATCTGCCACCATAGGGGCCACCAGACCTATAAGGACCAGCACCAGCACCAATACCATAACCAGAGTCTCCATATCCACCATAAGCATCTGATAATCCACCACCAAATGCAGCTCTTGGATTCCCTTGACGCCTGAATGGGGCTGGTTGTGGCGCATTAGGTCTCTTGGGCTCAGCCTTCTTGATTTCCACCTATTTGCCAAGTAGAAAACTGTTTAGGTTAACCAAGCTTCAAAAAGCTATTGAAAATAACATGATCATGCAACAGATGAATGTTCAACTACTATAAGCAGAATCATTTCAATTATTAATTATTTCCAAACCATAGTAACTTGAGCATCATCACTAAGAAAATAAGCTTGTATGGATACACAAGAACAATTCTCAACTTCTTGAGCCTCAATACAGTTAAGACAACTTAAGCATCTCAACTCAATGATGAGTTTGACAAAAGATGCAAAAGTACCAAGTCACAATGAACATAGAAACATTGCTACCCAAATGCATATCATTGATATTTCATTGGGTTTTGCAGTCAGTTTCATTAATTCTTTTCAAGAAAATCGAGAAAGAACATAAACTCAATCCTTTTCAAATTAAGGGCATTTGTCAGAAGGCCTAGAACATAAAGAAAAAAACATACAAAGCACATATACTTAAGAGTGCAACATTGCCATCAAAATCATGTTTGAAGAAGGCAGAAAAGCTTGATAACTTTACAAGATTAATGAAACAATCTAGAAAAAGTATCACCGCCTTAATTAGAACACACTATGGCTATACTAACCTGGGTTCCAGAAAAATCAAGCTTGTTTCCATTAGCCAAGATATCCTCAACAGATTTTTCTGTGTCAAAAGTGATGAATCCAAAGCCACGAGAACGACTAGTAGAATGGTCACGCATGATCTGGTGCTCCTTCACCTCTCCAAACTTTAAAAAGAAGTCTCTGAACTCATCTGAAATATAAATGCAACTTAATACCTCAGAGACTTGTTTCAAAAGAATCCAACGAGTTAAGGGAAGGTGATCAGTTTCTAGCTACAGAAATATAACCTTCACTAATTGTTGTTGGGATGCCGCCCACAAAAATCTTCTTCGTCTTGAAATCTTTTGAGCTGGAACCTCCTCCTCTAGGTATAGTTCGCTTGATTTCCACCTGACACAATCAAAAAATCAGCATGAGGTCCCAAATGTTCCATCCACAGTAAAATAAAAGGAAAATGAAATCACAAACTGCTATAAGAATGAAATAAAATAGAAGCCCAATGTAATCTTACTTGCTTTCCATTTATAACATGGTCGTCCTCAATGACTTTATCTACCACGGAGGGGTCAGCATAAGTCACAAAACCAAACCCACGTGGCTGTCCTGTCCGCCTTTCCTTCATAATCACGGAATCAATAATTTCACCATATTTACCAAAGTGCTTGACAAATTGAGCTGCAGATATACAATGCAACATTAGGGGCAGGAAAGAACAATTTGGCAGAAGATCAAAGCAGAGGATGATATTAGACAAACCTGAAGTTGTCTCTCTAGCCAAGCCCCCAATAAAAATCTTTCTGCATGGCCACCAAATCCATTGATTAATACAATACCATGAGCAACTTGATTAATAGGATAACATTCTATGAAAACTGTGAGGCATGCCCAACCAACAACTAAGTAACTTCAATGAGAAGAAGTTCACATCGGAAGAAATTGAAAAGGGCACAGAAGAAAGTCATCAAATTAAAAAATTTATCCTATACAAATCAGAATAAAAGAAAACATGAAAATATGTATTCCCAACTCTCTCTGACGGTAAATAACAGTGTTGTCAAAATGGAACGCATAGACAAGCAACAACAACCAGACCTCACTTGGAGATTTCATTGGGTATGTTGTAGATGAGCAACAACCATAAAGTGGGGTATGAGGAGCGTGGAGTGTGGAGTGTACAGTGTACACAGACCTTACCCCTACCTCAGAAGTGGAGAGATTGTTTTAGATACACCATCGGCTCAAGAAAACAGTCCAAAGCCATTCAGAAAAAGAAATGATGGAAGTGCGGGAAACAACAGACACTAACAAAAACAACAACAGATGGTAAAATAACAGTATTATAACAAAACAATATCAAAGTCAAAGTACAAGATTCAACAAATAGTAACAAAAATCGGAAGGGCAAAAAACTACAAGATATAATACTACTACTAATGGACGAACAGCAAGACAATGCACTTGCACATACTAATCTTCTACCCTAATCCGTGCCCTCCACAAACTCCTCTCCAAGAAGGAAAGCAAAAATGTAAGAAATATAAATGTAACACAATTAAAAGTTATGGGGACTAAGAAATTGAAAAATAACTAAAATCAAGTCCAAACAACATTTTAAACTCTGATTCATACACAATGATGAAATTTCAAATCTAAATTTATATTCCTAATCATCAACAGAGTTATTCGCCTTGTTTAATTGAGAACTAATACATCAATTTACTAACTATATTTATGGTTTTCCTCCCGCCCTCTTCAGTAAGGAGCTTATAACCTAGCTTCGGGTCTTAACCGTCTCGACATTAACAACACTTGTAAGTTAATACCTATTAGACGCAAGTCCTAACAACAATGCTAAAAGAACAAAAAACAAACAGCATGGTTCTTCAATAAAAGAAAAACGATACAGCGTAAAAGGGAAAGAAAGGACAAAACAGTAAAAAAAATAATACCCAGGACTAGCACCATCTCCGGTAAGAGGTTGAGAAGCGCCGGTGTCGTTTTGATGGTCGGGAGTAGTTCTTAGGTCATCATTAGTTTCTTCTTCCTCCAGCTTGATTTTAACACCATTTGCAGTCCCATTTTGTTCCTCCATTGACAAGAAGACGTTTGTCGGTGCTTTTCAAGAAAGTTTTCAACGAATCGGAACTGGAACTCTGAGGTTCACCGTGAAAATATGCGGTCTGATCTAGTACAGGACGTTGTCGGCGCTTTTATATACCAAAACCCTAGATAGTTTGATAAGGGAACGTTCGATTTAGAGTATGTTTGGATCAACTTTAAAATGTCAAATCTATTTTTAAGTTAGTTTTTAACTTCTGAACTATTTGACAAATATAAAAATAAATTAAGAAATATTTGATAAAGTTAAAAATAATTTGAAAATAACTTAAATTAAATTTAAGAGAAAAGACATAAAGTGATACCTAAAATTGTCTCGAATTTTAAAAAAGATACATTAATTTTGCGAGCGTCCTATTACCCCATGGTAGGATTGGCAGGGGGACCGGGTCGGCCCGCGACCGGTCCGAGAACCGGCTCGCCGGACCCGGTCCCGCCAGAATCTCGCGGGATGGGGCTTTAGGGATTAGGGGACCGGTATCGGTCCGGTTCACCCGTTGGTCCCGGTCGACCCGGCCCGGATGAACCGGCCGGTTCGCGGGATCCCCTAACAATTTTTTTTTTATTTTTTTTTATTTTTAAATTCTATCCGTTGGGCAACGGCTAGTGGGCCCCCCAACAGATTTTTTGACAGTTTTTTTCCCCTATCAACACCCCCTACCACCCTTACTTTTAATAATTTACTTTAAACCCTCAAGTTATTATAAATACACTTTAACCCACTTTTAATATTATAAATACCCCTCTATCCCTTATTATTTCTTACAA